GCCTCATCTCTTTCAGTCTTGTCATATAAACTCACCCACTGCATCTTAAGAGAGTGTGCTATAGCCCGCTTAAGTTTCCCATCAATCCGCCTCATATTCACTCGTCCACGCCTCCATCAATATAGCTCGAGTGCTTCAGTCGAGCTACCTAATCGAGCTGCTTATAGTCAATCTCTTGGTTGAGTCCTCCGATCGAGTAGCCTTCACTCGACTCCCTTGGTCGAGTCAACTAATCGAGTTAGTCCTTCCGCGTGTATAAATCTCCCTACCGAGTCTGATATCAGATTCTCTACCAATTGGCAAACACTAGTGGACTATATTTCTGAATCTCAACCTCATCACATTCAGAATTTCTTGACTAGATACATCTTCCCAGTCTCAATTTATTCCATCCGGAGTGAGTGGAATGCACGACGCCATGGTGAGGCTTCATGTACCGCAACAAACCTCATTCAAATGATAGTAGGCATGTTCGTTACCAGCTCTCATCAATCCACTCATTGGGAGATCGAAGATATGACAAAGGACTACAAGCTTGGTTGGCTTCACGCGAATAAAAAGATTCAGCAAATCCTCTGTTTATCAACTCATAGCTCTATTTTTTTTCAGTTTAAAGGTTTCCAAAATTTCTCAAAACTCAAAAACAACTGATGCAATTATGTAAAATGTATATATATATATATATTTAATATAATTTAACATTCTATTAAAAAAAAAGATATGAAGTATCCCACAACATTAGTTAGTCTTGGAACACTAGATTTTTTTCTCTCTTTTCCATAGTAGTAATTAACATTTTTAGACTTTAGTTCTCTGCATGTAATGTTGTATACAACGATATAATTTTTTTTGTTTTTAATGTAATGTTAAATTATATTCAAAGAAAAAATATTGTTTTTACAACTAGTGCAACTTTCGCCTGAATTCAAAGTATGACTGAAATCTAAAAATCAAAAAACTTAAAGTCTTGATTCAAACCACATTTGTAGCCATTTGTCATATCTGCCGTCACCCAATAGTTTGATGGATGAAAGTGTGTTCCGAGTATGCTTGTCTATCCAACCGATTAGTCGACCTGCTGAATTATGAGATTTCCCATGTCTTATACCATTCCGCTCTCGCCAAATTGCGTAGACTGATGCTTGGAGGATGTACCGAGCCAAGATACTCTCTGTTCAGTTTTGCTACATAGTGGAGATATAAGTAATGAGAGATTGGCAATCTATTGAGTACCTTGTTTTGAAGATGTTCTTAGCTAAAGCAGCCCTAATCTCTGACTTGTAGCTAGGCCTGGGCATTCGGATTTCGGATCGGATTCGGATCGGATATATTCGGATTCGGATAATTCGGGTATGAGAGTTTATTATCCGTTCGGATTTTATGACTTTTCGGTTCGGTTTCGGTTCGGATATATTCGGATTCGGATAATTTGGGTAGGAGAATTTATTATCCGTTCGGATTTTATGAGTCATTGATTCGGTTTCGGTTCGGATAGGTGTCGGATTCGGATCGGTTTTCAGGAAAAAAAAACTAAATAATTGTTCAATTTAAATAAAAATTGGTTTAATCTTACTAAAATTTGGTTAAATTTTACAAAATATGTATAATTTTAACAAGTATAACTAAAATTTTTCCAAAATCTAGGATATTTAAGATATTTTTGTTATTTGCTATAAAATTACAACTAAATATAACTAATATTTTTGGATATATAATTTTTATTTCCGGTTTTCGGATATCCTTTCGGTTTTCGGTTCGGATCGGGTTCGGTTCGGATAATTCGGATAGGAGAATTCATTATCCGTTCGGATTTTGTGACTATTCGGTTCGGGTTCGGTTCCGGATTTTTTGGATCGGTTTCGGATCGGTTTTCGGATTTCGGATTTTATGCCCAGGCCTACTTGTAGCCATATTGAAAGAACAGATGGTCCCGAGTTTCTAGATTGTTATTGCAGAGCACACATCCCACTGGTGAACCTGTGTTCCAATTTTCAATTCTATCCCCTGTTGTCAACCTGTTCAGAACTGCGAGCCAGACACAGAACGAGTATTTGTGAGTGGCATGAGGGAACCAATCTCCCTTGTGCCATGCAACTTCATTTGATGTGGTTCTGATTCTGTTTCATGTGTCTTTAGTTGAGAAGCTGTTTTTGAATACGTTTCTTGCCTCGCCAGAGCTCTATATCTTGATCCTCCGTCCAATTTTGTCTTGCTGCCTGAAGAGTATACAACGATATCGCCCCTCTTTATACAACAAAAAACTAAAAAATAAAACCACAAATATAGAAGAAAATCGGATCCATTTGTTTTAAACTAATCATCATCCTCATGGGTTACCACGGGTCAAGAGTCTCAAGAAGAATGGTGCATATGGTATAGTACCGTGTTTCGTGTTTATTCTTTACCTTCTTCTCCATAATATCAACCTGTCTCATATAATTAACAAAACAAAATTATTATTCCGCTAACACCAGTCAGTGCCGAATATATGCCTGCGAGGAGTGCATTTGCACTGGAACTTTGTTAAACTACCATTAAAATTAGAGTATTTGGAAGGCCCATGGTTTTTACATGTAATTAGGGTCCATATTTCAAAAATTGAACGTGGATCAAAATTTATTTGTTATTTTTGAGCCGACCCTGCCACTTAGCCCGGACAAAATAACCGGAACCGAATATCTAGACTGAAAACCCGAAAAAATATCCGAACCAAATCCAAACCGATTTTTAAAAATACTTTGAATGGATAAAAAAGTAATCATTGTATTTTCAGGTAATCAGGTATTTCGGGTAGATTTGGGTATATATGGGTAAAAATACACAAATCCAACCTGAAGCCGGAAAATATTTCGGGTATTTTTGGTTCTCAACTCAAATACTCGAACCCGAACCAAACCCGGATCAAAATTTTAAAATACCTGAATGGGTAAAGAACCCTATACCCGAACGTACCCGAAAGAACCGAACCGATCGGGTTCGGGTACCCGAATGCCTAGGGCTACTGCCACCATTCAGTATATGTATTGAATACTGGAAACAAGTAGTGGGTGCATAAGTAAACATTGGAGAAACCGAGAAAGCACTGAAAAGTTATAAGGTCGTTCAAGTAGTTTGGTTATATGCATATACATATGTATTTTTGCAGGACGAGTTATATTGCGGGACGAGTTATATGGCGGAACGGGTTTGAGTCGACATTAATAAAAATTTGAAATATTATTAGCCAAACGCTTCATTACGTGTTTAATCCTCATTTTATTATTGTGTTAACAACACCAATATTATTAGACATGTCGAATTAGACTACTTTAATTAAATTTATATGAAACAAAAGTTATCCCGCATAATAGCGCGGGGTAAATCCTAGTTACTAATTATAGATATGTAACAAAAATTCATTATTTTAATGATTTTCTTTTTTTTTGTCGTCTGGATTTATTATTTATTGCAAATTATGAGAACTGTTACATAGACGATTCTACAACGGACAATTCCTTCCGACCCTTATTAGATTCACGACAGACGACACCTCCTTCACCTCCTTCTTCATGCTCACCTCCTTCACCTCCTTCTTCATGCTCTTGATAGACACTTCTCTTTCTACGTAGAATCCTGGCGAACGGCTATAATTATACATCGCTGGAGATCTCCTGCACACTTGCCTCCAATAATCTGCAAATTTATTAATAAATCGCATTATCTGGGACTCGAACCCTAGACCTCTGGGTGTAAAAGCATTAATTAACCCTTGGTGTCTCCGGTTTGATTGTAAACCTTTGGCAACGAATACACGCCTCATTTCTAGAGACATGAGCATTGACTAGCTTTGTCCTAGATGCTGTAATGTTGAAGAGACGATAAATCATGATTTATCCAAACTATTCACCAGTCATTTTTCGATCATGATTTGGCGTCTCTCCAATACTCCTACGCCTGCAACATCTATCCGAGGAGATAGAAGAAAATATTGCCGGCATTCCTATAAAACCCAAGGCATTGAAAAAATGCATCAATTATATTCCTCCCTTTATGGCACCTATGGCGAATTTGGAAATCCAAGAAATTTTTTGTCTTTAATAAAACTCGTGAAAGTGCGTCGAAAACATTTTGAAAACTCAGGTTGAAGTTAGAGAGTGGTTGAATACATAACTATAAGTGTAATTTTGATGCAGGTTACAATCCTCAATATTCTCGAGTTACAGGAAGATGGGCGATTGCAATCCTCATTGGCTGCAATGCAATATACTTAGATTAGAGGTTTTTCTTCTGTTATTTTCGAAGGAGATAGAGCGGTCCTCATTAACACTATTGGAGGTATCTTGGGGAGCAAGATGTGTATCTTGCGGACCAACTATTGTGGACCGTCAAAGTTCGTTTATGAAGTTAACCCGTGAAGTTCAAGCCGAAGAATATTCTAGATATCCTATTGTGATAAAGATTTGGGGAAAACTCTTTATTATGTGTTGTTAATCTCAGGAGAGTTGATACAATATATATATATAGACTAATTTAGGTTTAACCTAATTAGATTAAGAAATAGATAAACATGAATAAGTAAATATTCTAAATCTCTTAATCCTTATCACAATAGGATATCTAGAATATTCTTCGGCTTGAACTTTATTTTTATTTTTAATATTTTGATCATAGTATGATTCATTTTACTATCATAGTATGAATCATTTTTACTTTATTTTATTTTTAATATTTTGATCATAGTCAAAATAATTTCTAGGTTCGTAACTCGTTGGTTTTGTTCTTCCATTGTATGTGTAGTCCTCTAAACACGCATGCAGATTTCCAATCCTCTTTGATCGTAGACCTTGTAAGGATGCATCGTGATACGTCAGTGACTGACCTAAGACCTAGCAAATACGGAAACAAAAGTCTAATCTGATTTTCTTCTATTTTCTTTCTTTCCTTATTTTCCTACGATTTCTATTTCTACTGACTTTTCCTTTTTAAAAACTTATATATGTTATTGAGTAGTGATAAAGCGTCTCCTTAGAAAGAAGCTTCAAGTAAATATGGAGAAAGATGACCTAAAACCCGCCGGAAAACCTTTGTACAGGCTTTATTTCAAGGGTTTGGTAACCGAGGAAAAAGAGATGTTATTCGCAGGATTCGGCGTTGCAATTTGCGGCGACAAGGAAGATCTATTGTTTGACATGAAGGGGCCAATTCATGACCCCGCAGTTACACTTTTGGAGGCTGAGCTTATAGCATTGAAGTGTGGATTAAGGGAAGCCGTGAGTTTGGGGATTAATCATATCTCAATTTGCTGCGATCATGATCAGATTTTCGAATTGGTAAGTTTAATTTTCCTTGGCTCACACGTCTTTGCTTCAATCTCATAATTGATGTTTGTCCTTGAATTGTTATAAGGTCATGGGGAGATTCACTCCTGAGCAAGAAAACATTGCCTTGCTAATGCGTGATGTGCAAGGCATCAGAAACAATTTGACGTCTAGCGTCCCTGTTCTGTTGACTCGAGACCAATCAAATTTTGCCTACGAATTTGCAATTGAAGCAATCTCTTCTGATATCATCATAGATATTCCTCCTCAGAAAGAGACTTGCAATATATGTTTGAACGATGACATCAATGCTGATCAGATGTTTTCGGTTGATAAATGTGGTCATATGTTTTGTTCCGAATGCGTTAAACGACATATAGAGGTGAAACTACTAGAGGGAAGTTTGATCAGCTGCCCTCATTATCTTTGCAGTTCGCTGCTGAATTCTGAATTTTGTGTCAACATTTTGACTCCTAAACTAAAAGAGATGTGGGAGCACAAGACTAAAGAGAACTTGATTCCTGTAACGAATAGAGTTTATTGCCCAAACCCGAGGTGCTCGACTTTAATGTCGGAAACAGAGCTCTCTGGACTTATTATTGGAGTTAGGATATGCTGTGTAAAATGTGGCGAACCCTTTTGCATCAACTGCAAAGTACCGTGGCATAATAACTTTTCGTGCGACGAGTACAAGAGGTTGCATCCAAATGCTACAGAAAACGATGGAAAGCTAAAAGATCTAGCGAATGAGAAATTGTGGCGTCAATGCAGCAAGTGTAAACACATGATTGAACTTTCTTCTGGATGCGTCAGTGTAATTTGCAGGTATCATCATCTTAAATCACATCTACTTTTGGATTTTCTTGATTTCGAGTTTATGTATCCAACACAAGTTACTTGATAAATGGCAGATGTGGACATGAGTTTTGCTACCGATGTGGAGCCGATGCTGGAGATTGCTCTCATGGTCATGGCTTACCTCTTACAGATGATCTGCTTTTGACACCATGCTGTGCTTTTTGCTGCTGTTCTGTTATCTTTTTGGTGATAATTGCTATTGTTGTTGTTACTATAATATTCCTCATAAGACGGTTCTCGTAAGACGGTTATAGCAAAAACGACATAGCCACTTCAATTGATTTGTCATCATATATTTTACTTGCAATCTCGAGTGATCATCTCCTTCCAGCAACAAGCCAAGATCAGTTTGATTTTTTACTAGGATTGAAAATTGCTCATCAGCCTCCTATAACATTTAATAGTCCGGAGACGCTCTAGCTCTACCGGTGGTTTCTTTTATCACTCATCTTCCTTTGCCATTTAGGGGTTTTTGGATATATATTGTCTTTCTTCTGTCCCAAGTTACAATCTTGGTTTAAACCCTTCTTGCTTTTTCTTCGGTACTTCCGGTCTACTGGCGGCGTATGTGATGAATATTAATCTAGGATCGGAAATGGACAAGCCACACATGATTGATCAATTGATGGATTATTTGGTCCGGGTTCCATCAAACATATACATCTTCAACGCAAGATATCTCCATGTTAAATTAAAATTTGGATATCAAGGCATTGGGAAACTTAACCCACATCGATTAGAGAATAAGAGCATCTCCAATGTCCAACTCAATAATTTCCTCTATTTTAGAGGAACTCTATTTTAGAGGAGATTTTGCTCCAATGTATGCCTCTAAAATAGAGTTTCCTCTAAAATAGAGGAGAGAGACAATGTATGCCTCTATATATAGAGTAATCTAATGTCTCTCTCCTCTATTTTAGAGGAAACTCTATTTTAGAGACATACATTGGAGCAAAATCTCCTCTAAAATAGAGTTCCTCTAAAATAGAGGAAATTATAGAGTTGGGCATTGGAGATGGTCTAAGGGAAAGTCGTGGTGTTATTATCAAAAAATTATTTACCATTCGAGTTCGTTACAGTAAATTAATTTAGTATGGGTTTATAAATGGGAAAATGTTTGCCAGCTACGCGAAAGATACACCATCACATAGTCACACATGTAGACTTTAAAAATGTCTCGTTAGCTACACGAAGTATTGACATTACATACGGACATCGCCGAACTATCATAAGTCATGTTGCAAACACCATAACCATCTAATTCCAGTGATTCCGTTGCCAGAATCCGGCATTGACCAGCATTGACCGGCGTTGACCGATGTTGACCGGCATTGACCAAAAATATTTTCAAAAAAATATTTTTTTTCTTTCTATTCATTTATTTATTTTTGATAAAAAATAATTTAAATTACTTAAAAATTTACCAAAATTAAATATACCAGAAGTAAAAATATACCAAAATTAAATATACCGATACTTAAAAATTAAATTTTGATAAAAATATAACAAAATTAAATAATTTATAAATTGTACCGAAAATTTTTGGTTTGGATTCGGTCAAATTTTTCCTCAAAAATATATTATTAAATACTCTTAATTAGTATTCAATTGGTTAACCATGTGATCGAGTAAATTTGGAAAAATGCCTTGTTTTTGTTTACACTTTTGAAAAATACCCTATTTTATTTTCTTTTTTAAAATTACTTTAAAAATATGTAAAATTACTTAATTAACTTTACTAAAACTTAATCACCAAAATGTTTTTTACCAAAACTTAATAATAATTACGAAAAATCTAGATTTTCAAATTTAAAATCAATTTTTAAATATAAAACGATTTTTAATAATAAATAAATGTTTTATTTTTTTAAATTGTTATATTAGTATCGTTTAAGGATTTTTTATCCTAAATATTTCTTAAAAAATTAATAATTAATATTCTATTATTTAAAAACGAAAATTATATCATATGAAAAGTTACCCGAAGTTGTGCCTAATTACGTATATGGTTTAAACATGAGAAATTGTTAAAAATGCCCCTTTTTCAATACCCCTTTTCAAAAATGCCCCCTTTGAGAGTCCATTTTTAAGTTTGCCCTCTTTTAATTTTTAATGACCATTTTACCCTTATTTGAAACAAAATTAGGTCCACAAAATACAAAATACTTTTTGGCGGGAAAAGTGATCCCGCAATTTTCCCGCCAAAACACTTGTAAAAACCTTTAAAATACCTTGTAAAATTTTCCCGTAAAAATTTTTCCCGCCAAAAAATTTTCCCGCCAAAAAAATTTTTTTGCGGGAAAAGTGATTCCGCAATTTTTTTGGCGAAATTTTTTTGGCGGGAAAATTTTTGGCGGGAAAAATTTACAAGGTATTTTAAAGGTTTTACAGAGTATTTACAAGTGTTTTGTAAGGTTTTACAATGTATTTTAAATGGTTTTACAAGGTACTTATACCTTGTAAAACCTTATAAAAAACTTGTAAAACCTTATAACTTGAAAAACCTTATAAAATAGCTTGTAAAATCTTATAATATCTTATAAATACGTTGTAAAACCTTTTAAAATACATTGTAAAACCTTATAAATACCCTGTAAAAAACCTTTAAAATACATTGTAAATTTTTCCCGCCAAAAATTTTCCCGCCAAAAATTTAACGCCAAAAAAATTGCGGAATCACTTTTCCTGCAAAAAAATTTTTTTGGCGGGAAAAAATTTTACGGGAAAATTTTACAAGGTATTTTAAAGGTTTTACAAGTTTTTACAAGTGTTTTGGCGGAAAAAATTGTGGGATCACTTTTCCCGCCAAAAAATATTTTGTATTTTGTGGACCTAATTTTGTTATATTTCCTTATATATTTGTGATATCTTTTATTAAAAGAAGGGTAATTTAGTCATTTTGTACATAAAAAGGGGTATTTTTAAAAATGGACAGCCAAAGGGGGCATTTTTGAAAAGGGGTATTGAAAAAGGGGCATTTTTGTGAGTCTCCCTTTAAACATTTACCTTGCAAATTTTTTTCAGAGATGTAGACTTTATTGAGTTCATATTTTTGGAGTTTTGGATATTTTTTTGCTTTATATAACATGATAAATATTAAAATATAAACTTTATAATATTTTTGGATATTATCTTATTAATTTTAGTATAAAAAAATCAATAAACCATCTTTCTCTTAAAATAAAATAAAATGTATAATAATAGTTAATATTTTTTAAGAATTTAGTTTATCTTTATCTCCAAATTTCGAATTTAGTTTGATTTATTAAAAATATAGATTCTAATTTAAAGCACGAAAAAATTTCATATTACATATATAAAAATGTAGTTTTTATTTAAAATAGAAAAAGGGTATTTTTCAAACTAAAACCCATAAATAGGGTAGTTTTCAAAATGACCCTGATTTATAACTGGTGACAGGAATATTGGTAACAAAGTATTGATCCTTAGAATGTTTGTCGCTCCGCCTAATGCTGTAATGTAGCATAGATAGTTTCGAGTAGCTATTATTGTTTTTTTTTTGTTAAAGTTTATCCAAATTTTATAAAGGGTGATTTAGGTGAATAACCCAAAAAAAAAGAAAAATTAGTTTTTTAGAAAGAAGGTAGAGAGAGATAGGAAGAGAAAGAGAGTGAATAGGGGGGTTAGAGGTTAGATATTTAATTTTGTTTTTTTTTTATGTTATCTAGTGCAATTTTTTTTTATAAATAAAAAGCCCATTGGACTATTTCCGGATTTAGGCCCATACATTTTCTCGTTAGGGCCCAATCCACTAACATCTAACCGAACTAAACCATCTATTACAAAACCGACTAGGTTTTACTTAACCGATCTAAACCGGAGCCAAAGAAAAATTCTAATCTCTAATCGTAGAACACGACAGAGCCGCCGTCCAAGAACTGCATAAACTCACCGGAACAGAAAACCTCCGGTGAACCTGGACGACGCGTGCCGAACGGAGATGGTGATCAAGGATCTGTTGCTATCCCGCCACCGTAGAGCAGTTTTGAGGAGGAAGAAGAGGTCCGACCATCCTTTGTCGTGAATCTCCATGCTCAGTCATGAGAGTTGAAGGCAGTAGGGAGTAGATTTGAGGACCATCGGCGGTGGCTTAGCTTCACCGGGCCGGAGTCGACCTCCCCCATCACGCGGTGACCCTTTGAAACTTCCAGAATCTCCAATCCCTAGATCTAACTGTCGTCTTTCCTCGTTCCTCGCCGTGAAGACTCTCTTCCACTCTGCATCGCTACTCCACCGATAGAGCTCATACCGGCGTTGTCTCGCAAAATCTTCTCTTCTCTACTGCTCCCTTGATTTTGTATGGATAGCTTCACCGAGAAGATGTAGCGGATCACGGTTGAAGAACCATGAGCCACGGGGTCTCATCGTCGCCAGAATCAACAGAGACCCCCATCAACGGTGTAAGAGATTGTGCTCAGAAGAAGAAGAATTGGGAGAGAAATCACCTGCGAGTGTGATCCACACACGACTTCTCTCCAAAACTCTCAGATCACAATCTTTCAATTCAAATCATTATTTTAATGATTAAATGTTAAATTTATTAACAAAAAATAGTTGCTTATTTAAAAAACAAAACCAAAGTAAAAAACCTTCTTATATCTCCGGTTTAATTGTAAATTAATAATTTATAGTGGTTATTTATTTGGCCACTATCTGTATGATAAAACCTTCTTATATATGCACAGTTTCATATGTATTATAGAATTATACTATCATAATATGAATCATTTTTTACTTTATTTTATTTTTAATATTTTGATCATAGTCAAAATAATATCTAGGTTCGTCGTCACTCGTTGGTTTTGTTCTTCCATTGTGTAGTCCTCTAAACACGCCTGCAGATTTCCAATCCTCTTTGATCGTAGACCTTGTAAGGATGCATCGTGATACGTCAGTGACTGACCTAAGACCTAGCAAATACGGAAACAAAAGTCTAATCTGATTTTCTTCTATTTTCTTTCTTTCCTTATTTTCCTACGATTTCTATTTCTACTGTATTTTCCTTTTTAAAAACAAAAAATATAGCTCTATATATGTTATTGAGTAGTGATAAAGCGTCTCCTTAGAAAGAAGCTTCAAGTAAATATGGAGAAAGATGACCTAGAAGTAGAACCCGCCGGAAAACCTTTGTACAGGCTTTACTTCAAGGGTTTGGTAACCGAGGAAAAAGCGATGTTATTCGCAGGATTCGGCGTTGCAATTTGCGGCGACAAGGAAGATCTATTGTTTGACATGAAGGGGCCAATTCATGACCCCGCAATTACACTTTTGGAGGCTGACCTTATAGCCTTGAAGTGTGGATTAAGTGAAGCCGTGAGTTTGGGGATCAATCATATCTCAATTTGCTGCGATCATGATCAGATTTTCGAATTGGTAAGTTTTACTTGGCTCACACGTTTTTGCTTCAACTCATGATTGATATTTTCCTTGTATTTTTTTTTGTTTAGGTCATGGGGAGGTTCACTCCTGAGCAAGAAAACATTGCCTTGCTAATGCGTGATGTGCAAGGCATCAGAAACAATTTGACGTCTAGCGTTCCTGTTCTGTTGACTCGAGACCAATCAAATTTTGCCTACGACTTTGCAATAGAAGCAATCTCTTCTGATATCATCATAGATATTCCTCCTCAGAAAGAGACTTGCAATATCTGTTTGAACGATGACATCAATGCTGATCAGATGTTTTCGGTTGATAAATGTGGCCATATGTTTTGTTCCGAATGCGTTAAACGACATATAGAGGTGAGACTACTAGAGGGAAGTTTGATAAGATGTCCTCATTATCGTTGCATATCTCTACTGACTTATGGAAGTTGTGTCAACCTTTTGACACCTAAACTAAAAGAGATGTGGGAACAAAAGACTAAAGAAGACTCTATCCCGGTAACGCATAGAGTTTATTGCCCAAACCCGAGGTGCTCGACTTTAATGTCGGAAGCCGAGCTCTCTGAACTTATCATTGGATTTAGGAGACGCTGTGTAAAATGCGGTGAACCCTTTTGCACCAAGTGCAAAGTACCGTGGCATAATAACTTGTTGTGCGACCAGTACAAGAGGTTACATCCAAATCCTACCGAAAACGATGGAAAGCTAAAAGATCTAGCGAATGAGAAATCGTGGCGTCAATGCAGCAAGTGTAAACACATGATTGAACGTTCTTCTGGATGCCTCAGTGTAATTTGCAGGTAACATTGTCTTTAATCAGTACGTACATCTCCTTTCGAACTTGGTTTATCAGAATTTATGTACGTATCAACTCTAGTTAATTACTTGATAAATGGCAGATGTGGACATAGATTTTGTTATCAATGTGGAGCCGATGCTGGATTGTGCAACCATGGTCACCACATTCCTCAACACTATCTTGAACACTATCCTCGACGTCGACGCCCGTTACGAACGCGGACACGGTGTCCTCAAATTTGCTGCTGGTGTTTTCTCTTATTTTTAGTGATAATTGGAATTGTTGTTATCATATTATTATGCAAGTAATATCACTTTTATTAATAATAATATCATATTGATTCCATTATTACTAAGATATCTCGTTAATATATTTTAGTAATTTTTATATGTTAGTTGTTTTTTTTTTCTTAAATTTCTTTTTGGATTAGGGAAACAAAGTTAAATGTTTTAGAAAAAACAAACACACAAATTAATCTTTTTTTATTTCTTTCCATTTTATTAATATTCTTTTTTATTTTAAAAGTTAAAATTATTGACACGTGTAGCAATTTATTGATGATTAATAATTCTATAATTTAAGGGTTTACTATATATTATTGAATCATTAAACGTGACTCCATATAACGAATCTGCAAGTAGATATGGAAGAGGAAGGCACTCTAGTACGAGCAGATAACCTAAAACATGCCGGAAATCCATCACCGTCAAAATCCTCGCCGTACAGCCTTTACTTCAAGGGTTTGGTTAGTGAAGAGACGACGGAGTCATCGGCAGAGTTTAGGGTTGCGATTTGCGGCTACAAGGATGGTCTGATGTTTCAGATGAAGGGTCCAATTCATGACTCACCAATCACACTTTTGGAGGCTGAACTTATGGCATTAAAGTGCGGATTAAGCGAAGCCGTGAGTTTGGGGATCAATCATATCTCAATCTGCTGCGATAACGATCAGATTTTTGAATGGGTAAGTTTTACTTGGCCAACACGTCTTTTCACTTCAATCTTATAATTGATGTTTTGCTTTAAAACCCTTAGGTCATGGGGAGATCCGTGCCTCAGCAAGAAAACATTGCCTTGCTAATCCGTGATGTACAAGGTATCAGGAAACGTTTTACTTCTAGCATCGCTGTTCGGGTGACTCGAAATCAAGTTGAATTTGCGTATAAAGTTGGAATGGAAGCAATCTGTTCTAAGACCAAGATAGCTATGCCTTCTCTGTTTCATCCGGGAAAGATAGATGTGCCTGCGCTGTTTCATCCGAAAAAGACTTGTAGTATTTGTTTCGACGATGACATCAATGCGGATCAGATGTTTTCTGTTGATATATGTTGTCATGTGTTTTGTTCCGAATGTGTGAGACGACATATAGAGGTGAGACTAGCCGGTGGATATTCGGTGACATGTCCTCAATATCGCTGCAAATCTAAGCTGACTTATGGAAGTTGTGTCAACATTTTGACACCTAAACTAAAAGAGATGTGGGAACAAAGGATCAGAGAGGACGCGATTCATGTAATGGATAGAGTTTATTGCCCAAACCCGACGTGCTCAGCTTTAATGTCACTAACCGAGCTCTATCAACACACTGGAGTCAGGAGGTGTTGTGTCAAATGCGGTGAACCCTTTTGCATCAAGTGCAAAATTCCGTGGCATAATAACTTGTCGTGCAAACGTTACAAAGAGTTGCATTCAAATCGTGCGACAAACGATAACAAGCTTACACAACTAGCAAATCAGAAAAGTTGGCGTCAATGCAGCAAATGCAAACAAATGATTGAACTTTCTGAAGGGTGCGTCCACGTAATTTGCAGGTACCATCTCTTTTCGATTTCGTTGATTTCGAGTTTATGTATCAACAAAAGTTACTTGACAAATGACAGATGTGGACATGAGTTTTGCTACGGATGTGGAGCCGATGCTGGATCTTGCTCTCATGGTCATGCCTATTACTTTTCGTATGAAGATCTAGAGCCAGAAGTCCCAGGGCTAGTGCTAGTCAGTATTGTTGCTGTTATTATGATATTCTTCATAAGATAGTTTCTAGAACAGAACAGTGTAATCAGTTGTGTGCTCTGTTTTTAAGGACTTGCTTTGAGCAGAAAGTGATTAGACTAGACCAATAACTAGAGATTATTAAACTTATTTCATCAAGTCTTACAAGCAGGCTTTAGAATTTAGTGTAAACCTGAAACTGTACGAGCCAAACTTCTAAATAACATCCCACGAGATTCCGAAAACATTAAGAGAAAAAGAGAACACATACCATTTCGCAGCGAGATTCCGTGTGAGATAGAGATATCGATATACCTGAGATGTTAATCTCATTGTCCTAAGCTTAATACTCTTAACTCTCACCAGCCTCTCATTGATTCTAAAAACTCTCAAAATAAAGAGTTATTCCCAATTCAATTACCCCAACATACACAAATACAAGAAAACGCCTTCTTCTACCAAAGGCTAGCTCCTTTATTTTCAAGACCCTACTGGAGCCATGTCTTTACCTTTGGTTGCGGCGGTTGCAGCAGCTGCTGCGGCGGCGGCTGCGGCTGCGGCGGCTGCTGCAGCTGCTGATGATGCTGAGCTAGGGGTTGATGGAGGAACAGGGTTGCTTTGCTTTGCAACTACTTCTTGACGCTTTTGCAGCTGTGGAGAGTTGAGATCGGTAAGCAATTCTTTAATCTGCTTACCGGACAGAGTTTCGTGTTGAAGCAAAGCATTTGCAAGGGCATGAAGCTCTTTGTTGTAAACTGTGAGGATGGTTTTCGCATTGTTATAAGCCTTTTCCAGAAGTTGTTTCACTTCACTCTCAATGAGAAGCCTTGTCTCGGTGCTCATGCTTTTCCCATTGTCGTCGTAGTTATGTGCCACAAGACCTACCTCTTTGCTCATACCGAATTTCGTGACCATCGCTCTAGCGAGTTTAGTTGCCTGCTCAAGATCAGAAGATGCACCCGAAGTTACCTCACTTTCCCCAAAAATCAGCTCTTCGGCTACCCGGCCTCCCATACAAACATCAAGCCGAGCAAGCATCTGTTTCCTAGAAATGCTAGTCTCATCTTTATCTGGTAGTTGAGAAACCATGCCAAGAGCCATACCACGAGGCACAATGGTTGCTTTGTGGACTGGAAGAGCCCCTTCTGTGTGGATGGCAACAAGGGCATGACCACCTTCATGGAAAGCAGTCAGCTTTCTTGACTCGTCAGATATAACTGCAGATTTTCTCTCACTTCCCATCATGATTCTGTCTTTGGCAAACTCAAGATCAGACATTGTCACATCTTTAGAACCATCCATTGCAGCTTTTAAAGCAGCAACGTTGACCAGATTTGCCAAATCAGCGCCAGAAAATCCAGGCGTTCCTCTAGCGATGATCATTAAATCAACATCTTCAGCCTTAAGTACCTGAAAACGCAATAAAGACAGCCAACCAACAGTTTCAATATTCATCCCATTTTTGTATTACAAGTCACTGAACAATTAACTATACAGGCTAACGCCATTAGTGCAATACTTAAGCTGTCTAGTGCATAAATTAAAGTTACCTTTGACATGTGAGACTCCAAAATCTGGCGTCTACCTTCCACGTCTGGGTTAGGTACCACGATATGGCGATCAAACCTCCCAGGTCTAACCAGGGCCTTATCCAATGACTCTGGGAAATTTGTTGCTGCGACCACAATAATTCCTTCATTCTGTTTAAACCCATCCAACTCAACAAGCATCTGGTTCAATGTCATCTTCATGTATTGCTGATCCTTGGGATTGCGACTTCCTCCAATAGCATCTATTTCATCGATAAATATAATACAAGGGGAGCACTTCTTTGCAGCACTAAAAAGATCTCTCACTCTTCTGGCTCCAACCCCAACAAACATCTCTTCAAATTCACTACCACTGCAGGAGAAGAAAGGAACTCCAGCTTCTCCAGCAATAGCTCTAGCAAGCATAGTTTTTCCTGTCCCAGGAGGACCGACAAGCAACACACCCTTAGGAAGCTTTCCGCCCAGACGAGTGAACCTCTGAAACAAAGATAAAAAGAAAGAAAACTCAGATGACATAGTGAGGCCAAAGAACAAAACGGAACTAACTCTAAAAAAGAAATCCGGCACAGATAATTCAGAGGATAAAGGTCTATATGATAACTTCACATGATTTATGCTTTCGAATTTACATCAGTAAACAAAATACAAACACACTACTACACTAGCACTGTGAATTTACCTTAGGGTCACGAAGATAATGCACAATTTCCTCTAGCTCAGCTTTTGCTTCATCAACACCCTTTACATCACTAAATTTGGTGCTCGAATCCATACTAGGTTGCACTTCTTCGTGCAAACCGAGTCCTAACAAGCATAAATTAGTTAGAACAGAGTCACCCAATACAGCTATTGCATCACTGAAGATAATAAAACCAAACTACCTTTGCCAATTCCTCTATCCTCGATAAGAGCTCCAATACCAGAAATGAGTAAAAACCCAACTGCAATAGTTCGGATTGTACTCCATAGCTGTTCTTTAAAGTGAGTCCTTTCAGTTGATATCGTATGGATCGGTGCACTAGCAGTTCCAAGGACACCATCTTTTGTTTGTTTTCCTAAGTTTTTAAATGCCGACAGACCTCCAAAAGTCTCTTCCTCCCTTGCAACACCAGCAATACCTAAAAGAAAACCAAAACGTTTACCAATATTATATATAGAAATGGCTCACAAGCTGCAAATAAAAATATGAAACTAAGGATACTATCCATTAAGAATCAGACAAGAAGTATCTCCCTCCTTACCCACCTCTTTGCAATGTTCGTACCAGCTCACTTTGATCCAACCTATCAACTTTGACCAATGCCTTAATGTATTCCGACAACGCAGAGGCATTCGAATACAAAGATGGTTGGCTCTCAAACATTCTGATAACAGCCTCAGGATCATTTCTCCGATAAAGCTCTCTCAGATGTGCAACCTCATTAACTTCTTCTCTATCACGCACTCTCCGAGCAAAGCTACCAACATAACTCGATTGAAACCTCGTTTGCGGTAAAGAAGCTCCACCACCACCTACAGCTATAGATCAAAAATAACCCATTAACATCAAAAACACTTCTGAAACAACCCGAAAACAACAAAACTACTCATAACACAATAAAAACATACCTCCAGTAACTCCCACTCTAGGAAAAGAAGAGTAAGCTCTAACAAGTAAGCTTCTTAAACTGCTCAATTCCCTTTCATGACTCGAAACCTGTCATCGATGAAGAAAATCAATGGTAATGAGCTAAAATTACTAATCCCAAACTCAAAATAACACTAGACAACACATGAAAACCAAAATCTTTCGATAAAGGTGAAATCTTTTACCCATTCTGAATCAAAAAATTAAAACTTTTTAATGCCAATATCAAAATTAGGTGAATTGGGTATTCAAATCAATCAAATAACAATATCCCAGAGACAAACTAGAATCCTAAAAGACAACATTTTGAAGGAAGAGAAGATTTTGAGCTTCTAGGGTTTGAAAAATATCATCTTTAGCTTCTGAATCACAAAGATCTTGATAAAACCCATTATAAAATGATATCAAATTAGATCAAATCCACTACAGTATCAACCAAATTCGAAACCTTTTTCGTATTAAAATTACATAAAAGGGGAAAAAGAAACAAAAACCTTGGTGATGATGCGCCTCCAAGCCATCAATCAAATCTCTCCTTCACGGTGTCGTAAAATTGGTGATGTCCGAAAATCGAAGTTCCTCGATCTATATCGGAAACAAAAGATTTCTTCTTTGTGTTTGGGAAGAACCGTTCTAATCTTATTCCCTAAAGTCTTGAAAACACTAAAATACACGTGAGAGACCTGTTTTGGTTTATCGGGTGAGAGAGAAAATTGTGCAGCAGGTGAAGACACGCACGAGATATGTAGGTCGCGTCTTAAGTTAAATTACATATATACCCTTGGATATACCCAATATTTCATTTTAGTGGGCTTTTCCTGGCGGCCCAAATTAAAAGAAGGACCTAGAAGTAGTCTCGTAACCTCAATGTTCAAGCATTAGACAATACGCAGTGGACCAATTCTCCGGGTGTAAGTCGTCGAGTGTTAGAATAAAAAAAGAGAAAAAAATGCAAATGTTGGCTTAGATCCGAAACTCGGGTGTTAAGTTACACTCAGGTGTACCGATGACGTGGCTTACTGGGATTGGTTACCTTTTTGGGTTAATGAATTATTCCTTTCTCTCTCATCTATCTCTCTCTCTCGGCGAAAGCTTTAACACAAAAAGTTGATTTCATTTACAGCGTGCTTCCAACGTGTCCCTATTCGTCTTAGATTATTTTATTAATATTTCCCCCCATATTCATATCCCCAAGGATGTCCCATTGCTGTTGCTCTTATATTACTAACTAGAAGCATTTTAAGTGGAAAAGAGACTGAATCAGTGAGACTGAAGCATTATTACTAACTAGAAGCATTTGAAATCTGATAGATTTTAACTCCAATGGAGTTGACTTTAACTTCACTAACCAATAACACCACCTTAGTCTTTTTTTTTTTGTTTTTTTTTGTCAACAATGTAACTTTTTTTTGTTTTTTATCAACAGTGAAACTTTTAGTCTTTTACTCAATTCTTAAAAAAAGAGAAATAATAACATGTTACTACTTAAGAACCGGTGTCATAAATTTTATTGTGTTTCAACTTTCAATTTATGAATAGTTTTATTTATATTAAAATAGATATATTTGATAAATTAATTTGTATTTATAGTAAAATATATACATTGATGAATATAATGCATAAATGTTTCACCAATTTGGTGTGAGATTTATAATTAGATGGAAGGTGTAAAATATCATTTTAATAAAATTATAAGAAAAAGTGATAATTGTGTTGAATGACACACATTATATTATTTATTTAGAGGAGAAAATTTGTATATATTTTATGTTATATATTTAATCCGGTGTAAGAATATATATATATATATATATATATATAAATTATTTAAATCTACATCATTCTACAAAAGATCTTTGGATATTTCATGTCTTAAAATCTTTTCATCATGTCTCATCTTTTCAAAATCTCAATAAAATATAAAAGTCACTAGAATATTGATCTATAATCTAATTGTATTGATGTGTCTCACGATCTTTACTGCTAAAACTTATCTCAAGTAGCAATATGTAAAATCAAAACTAGCTTCAAAAGCATATAAATAAAAGAAAGTAATATATATGTTTTTGTCTTGTCACCAACATATGAGCAAGATCTCAAAGGCTCTTCAGGTAAGAAAATCTTTAACTTTAAACATTGACAATGTATATTCAACTAATGCTAAAGAAATATGCACTCCATATGACTAATGTCATCTAAGTAGAACTTAGCTAATTTCATTAATTTTGAGTAGAGCTGTCAATTGGGTCGTCCGGCCATGGGCTAGTCCAGTCCAAACCATTACGGACGGGCTATGGACACGCCAAAAAACAATTGGTCCAATTGGACCAAAAACCAATTTTCTGTGCAGACACAATGGGCAAGACCAAAGATAAACTATTGTGCAATTTATTAGATGTACGATATGTGTTTTATTTTTTAATAATTAATTAGTCAATATTCTAATGAAAAATAGGTTAAGTTACAATTTTTGTACAAAGTTACCTAAACTTTTTTTTCAATCGAAAGAATATGTTAAGAATATTCTACCATTCTATTTTACTATAACAGGTTAGTAATTGTATTAATGTGACATGTGACATGTAAAATAAATAAATTAGAGTTTATAAAACAAACAATATAGGAAATATAGAAATGGTTTGGTCATTAATTAATTCACAAATATAATGAAATGCAAACATAGAGCTAGTGAATAGTGTAATTTTGTTTAGGGTTTTGTCCTTTTGTTGGAGAAGGAAGAAAATATAGGAGAAAAATTTAACAAAAGTGCAAAATATAGGGACTTTAGTTAAATTTGAGTTATTATTAAACACTTATGGTCTAGCTTATTTTTTCTAGCCAAACTCCGACTTCGTATGACCTACATTTCCGCAAAACATAATAAATGATAACTTAGTAAACTATGTATATGATATAAGTATATGTTTAGTGGTCGATAGAATTCTAGATAAAAATCTATATATATAATTGGAGAGTTGTCTCTCCATTTAGACTATCCACATCATCATCCACATAAGCAACTCTATTTATTTTACATTAAAATAAAATTAAAACATTAATTTAGTGCATATTTATGTTACTTATAATTAATAAAAAATAAATAAATAAAAAACGAATTATGTAAAGATGTTGCGTTTGAGGAGGGAGAGAGAGAGAGAGACAGGGAGATATTTGTCTCTGCTAAGTCTATATTGTTTTTTTGTCTCTTGTTCTTCTTAAGTCTCTTTTTATACACGTCTTCTTTGAAATAGTTGTTATGATTTCAATAATGATATAGTTGTCATTAATCTATTATTTTAGTTATTAAATATAGTAGATTCTCATTAATTTTAAAAATTTATAAAATAAGAGAATATCCACCAGAAGTTGAAAAAGCACTACTAGTAAAGTAGTAATACATGCTACTTTACAATATAACTTTGATGCGAGCAATTCCTCAACTTCTACACATGCATTTCAAGCAAGAATCATGATCAATCATCATTTCTATAGGTCATTCCACATTAAATAAAATGCAAAGAGTTATTAAGAAAAAAAAATCATATGTTTTCCCTAACACCACACAAAACATATTGAAATGGGGTGAATCACACGGTATTTGAGGAAGACATAATCATAAGTGGAAAGTTGTGTTTGCGGAAGACGACAAGGATAGACTTACGGGCTTGATGTTTTCTCGGTTTGTTGTGTTTTGTTATCAATTAGCAAAATAAGAGAGCAAAAATAAGAATTAGATTAAAACATTTAACTCTTTGTTTCAAATTTTTGAAAAAAAATACTTAAAAGTGGATTTTCACCAATTATTGGGTCGCATGGAATTTAAATAAGGTTGGGTGGTTTGTACCAAATTCTTGATGAAATAAACTTTGAAGAAATGATTTGATTAGATACAAAGATCTGTTGAATTTTACATGCAATTACAATTGGTACTTGTGTCTCTCACAAAATTAAGATATCTAAGATATCGAGACAAAGCTTCAGTTTCAATTTAAAAAACAAAAGTATGCGTTTACCGCGACGGAGACAATCAACCGGAGGAGGAAACAGGAGACGGAGGACCGTGAATCACTTCGACGGCTCAGAGACAATCAACCGGAGAAGGAACCAGGAAAGGAATGCGGCGAATCACTTCGACGGCTCAGTTTTTCATCGCCAGCAGAGAAAGGGTTTCGTTTCTCTCTTTTCACGAATTGGTTAGTGAAGACAAAAAGTTTTTTTTGTAGGAGAAGTCTCTAGGTGAAGTAGAGGGTTTCAAAAACCACAAAATTATCTGAATTTTGTAAATTAATTAGGAATTTAAAAAAAGAATTATTTTGTTTATTACATTTTCGAAAATATGAGAGTAATTTTGGGTATTGATTTTTAAAAAACCTATTTCACCAAACTTTTTCTAGAAAAGTATATATGGACATTTATCCATTAAAACATCTTTTATTTCTAATTTTCTCTATTTTTTTTTTTGTAAGCAAAGCTGAATCTTGGTCCAACTATAGAGCATACATTTACCAGATTAAACCCAAAAAGGCCCAATTTACTCAACAAAAATGTCTGAAATCAAACAATACAGTCACGACTTAATTTCTCTAAAATTGTGGACAATGTGTCATTTGATAAAAAAAAGATGTGCTTGCAAGAATTTGAGAAAACGTAAGAAATGGCACATTAACTTCTAAGTTCATTAATTCATGTACTTTTTATCTATTTGTTCCCAGAAAAACGAAAGACAAAATTAGCAACTTCCTCAAATTCGTATTATCATTAAAGCCTTGTGAGTTGTGACAGCCTGTCAGAAATGGGCTTAAGTAAAGGCCCATATTGATAAAAAAGAGTTTCTAGATTGGTAACGAAGTTTCTGGAACCTTGTCTTGTCTTGTCGCCACGTGCCCACACAAATGTCAAAGAAGCTTTAATCCATTGTCTTGTCTCTAGAACCTTCTCTTCTCTCCCCTTATAATCTCATTTCTCTCTCCTCCACTCTTCAAGCTCTCAGCTCAACATTTTCAGAAGAAAGTCACAAACTTTAACCAAAACCCAGTTTCTAAATTTGGCAACAAAATCTGATCTCTGCTTTGGTTTCTCTAAAGTTACTAAATTTATACAGTTTAGCTTATGGGTTTGAGATAAATAACGAAAAATGGAGGAACTGAAAGTGGAAATGGAGGAAGAAACAGTGACGTTTACTGGTTCAGTGGCTGCTTCTTCGTCTGTAGGATCATCATCATCTCCGAGACCAATGGAGGGTCTGAACGAAACAGGACCACCGCCGTTTCTGACGAAGACTTACGAAATGGTGGAGGATCCGGCGACTGACACGGTGGTTTCTTGGAGTAATGGTCGTAACAGCTTTGTGGTGTGGGATTCTCATAAGTTCTCAACAACTCTCCTTCCTCGTTACTTCAAGCATAGCAATTTCTCAAGTTTTATTCGTCAGCTTAATACTTATGTAAGTACCTTTTTGCTACCTTGTAATCAACTTAATCTTTTTAACGTTTTTGTTTCTAATCTTAATTTTGGATTTCTTTAGATGGGTTTTACTATGAGTCTTCAGCTATATAAAGGTTAGTCCTTTAAGCTTTTAAATGGCTTAATACAAAATGGGTTTCTTCATATTCATATGAATGAATTGAGATTTTGGTCATATGTTAAAAATCATATAACATAAATGTTTTTGTAGTGCACATTGTAGCTATAACTCTTTGAGACACTGTTTTTGAATGTAAAAATAGAATCTTGAAATGACTCTGCTTCAAGTTAAGTAGCTGATGAAACTTTGTTTTGTTGATTGCAGGGATTCAGAAAGATTGATCCAGATAGATGGGAATTTGCGAATGAAGGGTTTTTAGCTGGACAAAAGCATCTCTTGAAGAACATTAAAAGAAGGAGAAACATGGGGTTGCAGAATGTGAATCAGCAAGGATCTGGATCTGGCTCTGGATCAGGGATATCATGTGTGGAGGTCGGGCAATACGGGTTTGACGGGGAGGTGGAGAGGTTGAAGAGGGATCATAGTGTGCTTGTAGCTGAGGTAGTTAGGCTGAGACAGCAGCAACATAGTTCCAAGAGTCAAGTTGCAGTGATGGAGCAACGGTTGCTTGTTACTGAGAAGAGACAGCAGCAGATGATGACGTTCCTAGCTAAGGCGCTGAACAATCCGAACTTTGTTCAGCAGTTTGCGTTGATGAGTAAAGAGAAGAAGAGTTTGTTTGGTTTGGATGTGGGGAGGAAACGGAGGCTTACTTCTACTCCAAGCTTGGGGACTATGGAGGAGAATTTGTTGCATGATCAAGAGTTTGATAGAATGAAAGATGATATGGAGACATTACTCGCTGCAGCTATCGACAATGAGTCGAGTAATTTGATGCCTATGAAGGAGGAACAGTGTTTTGAGGCTATGAATATGATGATGGGAGATGGTAATCTGGAAGCAGAGTTGGATGTGAAAGTGGAAGATTTGGTTGGTTCACCTTTGGATTGGGACAGTCAAGATCTACATGACATGGTTGATCAAATGGGTTTTCTTGGTTCAGAACCTTGACTTTATGGCTTAACACATCTACTTGTCGAAAGACCGATATACTCGGTCTAAGTTGTGGTAATTGCTACCACTTTTTATTTACTGGTTGAATTGTTTGTTTGTTTGTTTTGACTCAATGAAGGCATTGAGTGTTGTTTGTTGTACATTTGCTTGTTTCTTGTTCTAATGAATAAAAATCTTTGATTTGGTTTGACAGTTTTAATGGTTATGTTTGTTCTTCCTTCTCCAGATCTTAGAAGCATGAGATGGAGCTGCAATAAGAGTATCAAGCTCCGTGTTATGTTCAGCATTTAGGAGTTTATGTTATGAGAGAAGACCTAAATTTAGTAACTTTTGTTAAGCTTTTTTTGGGAAAAGAGGTCAAGATACTAAAAATGTGTATTTCAATGTAACACTTTTAGTTTAAACCTCGTAAAATCTACAAACTTGTTGATCTAGTTGAAGCTTGAATGTTATGTAAAAGACTAAATGCGTTCTCTTTCTTTTGCCTGCTCTAGATGTTAGTGTACATTGTTGGATCAAGATTGGGACATAATTGGAACTAATCAACTAAATGGCCTGTGTATATTTTTGTAGATTTTCCTATATTTGATTTCATGGTATCGACCCCTTCCAATAATGTAGATCAAATTCCAATAATGGTATTCTCTATATTCTCTATATTCAATGTTGGTATTTTAGTTTTTGTTCGTCTCTAGTTTGGCTTTTTCGGATTTGAAAACTTTCACAAGATCACACAACACATAACTATAAGCAATATATAAAACAAGAATCATATTTAAGAAAATTAATCTTTTTAGAGGAAGGGAGGAGAAAACATGTGAAAACAACTATGAGAAAAAATATCAGTCATATGGATGATACTACCATCACCAAGCTTGAACATCTTAACAGCTTCACCATTCACTCCATTATAATCACAATATTCTCCATCATAATCATTGAAGTAGATATAATTCTTCAAAAGTCCATGGTACTCGGACTCGGAACTATCATTATCATGCTTGAAATATTTACGACCTTCCGCGTCACTCCTTTTAACATTATCAATGAAGTAGATAGAATTCCTCAAACATCCATGGTACTCAAGGGCTACAACCGTAAAACAACTGTCCCTAGCCACAATAAGTGCCTTGTCTCCCAAGGACCTAATCTCAACCCATTTTGCCACATCCCCGTCCATCTTATAAACCTTAAAACCAACTGTAGCTCTCTTTACACGAAGTTGATGAACAATGCATAGATTTCCACAAAAATCTACGAGTCTGTTGTTGAAACTATCACATCCGTAGTAGTTCATTGGAATTGAAGGTGTGAATTTAACGAGACTGAGGTGTGATAAATTAATCCACCAAATTGCGCCGGTTAAGTCTAAGGCATAGACTTGTCCTCTATGAAGAATTATGTCAGAGAAATCTTCAACTTGGTTTTTGATTTTTGTCCAAATACTACTACTTTCTTCTCCACTCTTGCAGCACCATATTTTCTCATCCTCGCCGACTGCGAAAAACAGATTATCTAGGAAAACAACTCTATGTGATGGTCCTATTTTACCTTTCACGCTTTGAATTAAATCTTTATCAAATATATGAATCTCGTAAGATTTTCGAATCTCTGAAACCCCAAATTTCAAAAGGTCTAGGGTTTCTTGTGAAGGGTCAAGGAGCTGACGAGAGAAAGGAGACAAGAGACTAATCTTACTGGATTCTGAGACTTGTTTGGTTCTGATCAGCCATCCTTTGTAAGAACCTGAAGAAGGGACATATACACGGAAGAAAGTGGTCGGAGAGAGAAGAGTCTCTATGTTCTTGTTGGAGGAAGGAAGGTTGTGTCGTTGAAAGCTGTTTTGTTTGGTCGCAACCGCGGATCGCCAGGATTTACAGATGCTACGGATACGGACGACGTCGATGTTAGAGGAGAAACGTTTTGCAGTTAAATCAATGAGTTCTTCAGGTAAATCAGTCCACTCAGGTATTTCCATCTTTGAATCGATCGACGAGTTCTGTGTTTTTATTTGAGATCGTGATCATCATCGCCTAGCCCTCTCTGTTATAACTCCATATATATACACAACAATATTTAAACCCTAGACACTTTAGGAGTCACGTGGGCTGGGCTATATATAGTCCAATTCCTAGTTGGATTATCCGTTAGCTATTATCACGTGAATACGGAGTGTTATTGGTTTCTAATTTACAAGGAATTTTGATGACTTTAATCTATACTATATAAAAGTCGAGGCTATAAGCTTCTGAGGCTGTACACGTGGGATTTTAAACCACCAATCGGGATTAGACACTTCGTCGGTTAACATTTTTACACACCACGTTAATTAACATTTTTAAATTCTAATATTCATAGGATTTTAAACGACCAATCGCGAATAGACATCTTCTCCACCTTCAACTACCTCTTGACGAGCTTGAAAAAGGCTTTTACTAACAAGGAAAGGAAGGAATTTTTGAAACATTTTTAAATTTTACTATTTTCTATAATAAGATATTTATGAAAAGGAAAAAAAACATATGGAAATAAGAAAATGTAAAATATAATTATTGTAATATAGAAAAAATAATATCATTATCAGTCTCAATATGTTAGCTTCCAAATAAATTAAGAAAATTTTCTAATTCTAAAGTAATATAATTAATTGAAATTGGAAAAAAATTTCGAATATAAGAAGAAGTTTTCCAAAAATTAACAAAAAGTTATAACAAAACAACTAAGAAGAAAATTTTTCAAAAGTCTGAGAAAGTTAAAGTTTAAACAAAATCTATACTATATAAAAGTCGAGGCTATAAGCTTCTGAGGCTGTACACGTGGGATTTTAAACCACCAATCGGGATTAGACACTTCGTCGGTTAACATTTTTACACACCACGTTAATTAACATTTTTAAATTCTAATATTCATAGGATTTTAAACGACCAATCGCGAATAGACATCTTCTCCACCTTCAACTACCTCTTGACGAGCTTGAAAAAGGCTTTTACTAACAAGGAAAGGAAGGAATTTTTGAAACATTTTTAAATTTTACTATTTTCTATAATAAGATATTTATGAAAAGGAAAAAAAACATATGGAAATAAGAAAATGTAAAATATAATTATTGTAATATAGAAAAAATAATATCATTATCAGTCTCAATATGTTAGCTTCCAAATAAATTAAGAAAATTTTCTAATTCTAAAGTAATATAATTAATTGAAATTGGAAAAAAATTTCGAATATAAGAAGAAGTTTTCCAAAAATTAACAAAAAGTTATAACAAAACAACTAAGAAGAAAATTTTTCAAAAGTCTGAGAAAGTTAAAGTTTAAACAAAATCTATACTATATAAAAGTCGAGGCTATAAGCTTCTGAGGCTGTACACGTGGGATTTTAAACCACCAATCGGGATTAGACACTTCGTCGGTTAACATTTTTACACACCACGTTAATTAACATTTTTAAATTCTAATATTCATAGGATTTTAAACGACCAATCGCGAATAGACATCTTCTCCACCTTCAACTACCTCTTGACGAGCTTGAAAAAGGCTTTTACTAACAAGGAAAGGAAGGAATTTTTGAAACATTTTTAAATTTTACTATTTTCTATAATAAGATATTTATGAAAAGGAAAAAAAACATATGGAAATAAGAAAATGTAAAATATAATTATTGTAATATAGAAAAAATAATATCATTATCAGTCTCAATATGTTAGCTTCCAAATAAATTAAGAAAATTTTCTAATTCTAAAGTAATATAATTAATTGAAATTGGAAAAAAATTTCGAATATAAGAAGAAGTTTTCCAAAAATTAACAAAAAGTTATAACAAAACAACTAAGAAGAAAATTTTTCAAAAGTCTGAGAAAGTTAAAGTTTAAACAAAATCTATACTATATAAAAGTCGAGGCTATAAGCTTCTGAGGCTGTACACGTGGGATTTTAAACCACCAATCGGGATTAGACACTTCGTCGGTTAACATTTTTACACACCACGTTAATTAACATTTTTAAATTCTAATATTCATAGGATTTTAAACGACCAATCGCGAATAGACATCTTCTCCACCTTCAACTACCTCTTGACGAGCTTGAAAAAGGCTTTTACTAACAAGGAAAGGAAGGAATTTTTGAAACATTTTTAAATTTTACTATTTTCTATAATAAGATATTTATGAAAAGGAAAAAAAACATATGGAAATAAGAAAATGTAAAATATAATTATTGTAATATAGAAAAAATAATATCATTATCAGTCTCAATATGTTAGCTTCCAAATAAATTAAGAAAATTTTCTAATTCTAAAGTAATATAATTAATTGAAATTGGAAAAAAATTTCGAATATAAGAAGAAGTTTTCCAAAAATTAACAAAAAGTTATAACAAAACAACTAAGAAGAAAATTTTTCAAAAGTCTGAGAAAGTTAAAGTTTAAACAAAATCTATACTATATAAAAGTCGAGGCTATAAGCTTCTGAGGCTGTACACGTGGGATTTTAAACCACCAATCGGGATTAGACACTTCGTCGGTTAACATTTTTACACACCACGTTAATTAACATTTTTAAATTCTAATATTCATAGGATTTTAAACGACCAATCGCGAATAGACATCTTCTCCACCTTCAACTACCTCTTGACGAGCTTGAAAAAGGCTTTTACTAACAAGGAAAGGAAGGAATTTTTGAAACATTTTTAAATTTTACTATTTTCTATAATAAGATATTTATGAAAAGGAAAAAAAACATATGGAAATAAGAAAATGTAAAATATAATTATTGTAATATAGAAAAAATAATATCATTATCAGTCTCAATATGTTAGCTTCCAAATAAATTAAGAAAATTTTCTAATTCTAAAGTAATATAATTAATTGAAATTGGAAAAAAATTTCGAATATAAGAAGAAGTTTTCCAAAAATTAACAAAAAGTTATAACAAAACAACTAAGAAGAAAATTTTTCAAAAGTCTGAGAAAGTTAAAGTTTAAACAAAAAGGAGAACTGAATGACGTAAAAGAAAATTTCTTCTTAACAAACAAAGAAAATAATAAAGCCCTAAATTCTAAAACAGTGGTTTATATATAAATAACTATTTATGGACCATTGATCGTTGAAAATTCAAACGAAAAATTTATTGACTTACTATGACACATACATCTTCTCCACCTTCAACTACCTCTTGACGAGCTT